GAAGTAGCTATTACCGTAGGTCTCATGGTAAGACTTAGGCCCGGGACCGATTTACTTTTTCATTTTGATGTCCCCAGAGGCCAAAAACACCATTCGTTCAAATTTTTATATATGTACTAGCTGACCCGGCGAACTTCGTATCGCCTAAGTTATAGGTTTCCCCTAAGACAGACCGATGGAAAGAAAGTACCGTTACGTTTAATTTTCAAGATGATCTCGTTCGCATCGCTCAATCACGTCCTGGTTGAAGTTCGTTCGCTACGCTCACTCACCTTTGGGTTGGATCTCGTTCGCTACGCTCACTCACCTTTAGGTTGGAGCTCGTTCGCTGCGCTCACTTGCCTTCAGGTTAGCTCGTTCGCTGCGCTAACTCGCCTCCAGGTTGAAGTTCGTTCGCTACGCTCACTCACCTTTTGGTTGCAAATTAGCTGTTGTCATAAATGTAAAAGAAATAATAGTGCTGCACCCTGTTGGTAATCCTTGTAACTTTAATGCTATTGAACATCATAGAACAGAACCAACTTGTTTAATTGAAACAGCTGTTAAGATTCATTAATTCCATTTCTCATAAGGTTAACATGGGAAACTCCAAAGCCACTGGGGCGGAGCCCTTTTAAGAATTTCGAAACGGGAAATAGTTTACGTCCGATTCGCATACCTACAGAATTTACACACCAAATTTCATAACGATCGGTGAAGTCGTTCCGGAGGAGTTTGCAGACAAACACTGTGACACGAGAATTTTATATATTAGATATATACATGTATATAGAGAGAGAGACAGAGATTTATATATATATGTGTCCGTGAACACGATAACTTTAGTAATTTGTATCCGACTTGGATGAAATTTGGTTTGAAGGTGTAAGGCGCGATAAACTTGAATGAGTTCGCGATCCAGCATGATCGGACCATGGGAACAGGGTTTATGAGGTAAAAATTGGTTTTTCTCACTTTTGACCCTCAAAACACAAAATTTCCCAATTTTTCTCTAAACCTTCTTAAAGAGCTTAAAAAAACAAACAATTCAGTATATCAGTGTTTTTGTACGGTTATTGGTTACGGAGAAAACTAAAAAAATTGTAAATTTAAAATTCCCATGTTATTCTTATGGAGAATATTGTAAAATTTTGTAGTTTGCTTGTTTATAGATATCTTTTGATCAAACTTGCCAGATATATTCATTTTATACTAAGCAATAATTATTTTATTTAAAACACACACTTTATTAGTTTCCTTGTAGCAGCAAACCTAGGAACTCGTTAAACCTAATGTTATTTAAATAGATCAATTGAAAATCAATTCAGCCAAATGGAAATTCGCTTAGACGGCAGGTTTGCTGCGGCGGGGGTATATTTTATTTTCCGACGTCTTGCAATTATGCAGACAACCGATCGGGCAGGCTAAGAATGATAATCTCAAATGATGTCTAAGGAAGACAATTTGCTCTATGAGTATAAACGGATGTTTACCATTGATTTCCTCCGACCTCATCAAACCGTTACTGTATGTTATCAAAGGCTTCCGTTTGTACGAGGCCTAGCTCGAAGGCCGAGGAGTTCACATCCTTGCAAAGTTTACCTTCCTCACTCTTTCTTGGACCAATAGAAAGGATTTGCTAACGGATTCATGCACAGTTGACTCGTAAATGAATGAATTAATTGTAAACTAGCGCGAGAGGCTGTGGATAACCCACTAGTTGAAAAATGCAAGGATTAAATTATTTAACGAGCACTGAACAGCTGCCAAGAACCATGTGAAACTAAGCTAGATTCTTGGCGAGTTTTCAGAGTTGAATCGAAAATACCACCTAACACTTAGAGACCGTTAATCACGCTGAATTAATGCGTGCATAATCAATTCCCAACCTTGTCCTACAAAAACCTAACCTTTTGATGGATTACGAAACCTACATCTTTTAAACTTGATATGTACTAAAAAAAGTGTTTTATAAAACAATTGTATTATTTTCAAGTAGTTAATATAACATCGTTTGGTTGATTAAAAAGTATTTTGGAGTATTTTGGAAACGGTAGGTATGGTAAAAATACTTTTTCTCTAAGTGTTTTGACAACAAAGAATTTTCATTGTTATATTGAAGATTGTTAGCACGAATAACACACCATCGAACCAGAATCAACCGATATTGGTGGCCTCTTATAAAGCTACATTTGTCCGTCCTCATAGGCTTCAAAGGTCTGTGCGTGAAACAATTCGGCAAAACAAGGATTAAGTTGGTACAGCAAGAAATATGTATACTAATAAATTTCAAGAGGCTGAACTGGAACGCGAACGCAGAGCAGGGCTGCCTTGTTTCAGCAGCCCGTATTGCTATCGTCTGAGCCACCGATTTACCACGCCTACTTTCTACTTAACTGTAGGAGTCTTTAAGCATACATTGAAGCTTAACCTGAATATTTTTTGTTCATCTTCTCACCAGACTCATAATATAAAAACCACTCACTCTTATAACCAGTCGAGCTATTATAACCCTTCCATATCCGACCAAGAATCATCCAAGAACTCGTTCTGCCACCCCTACTTCTAACAATCTCTCTAGAGGAAGACGAAGACGAGCCCGACGTCGAGTAAACGAGTATCAGCGTCAAAGGAAATGTCTTGTTTCTGGATTGTGTAACATTCAACAGCCAGAGAACAGGTTCCATTGAGGTCACCGGGGGAGGTCGGTCGTTGCCTGCACTGCTGAGTCTACTGACCTACTTGGAACAGACTGGACAGATCTATGGAGCACCGACCACTCGGATTGTTTATGGCTTGTTTTATTCGGATTGCTCAACAAAGTGGGTTCTAACGTGGAGACTTCAACGCGTGGAACATGTGGCGTGTTCTTTGCTACGTCAAGTATAATGTATTTTCTTCGGAGTGTGAAGTAGGTGTACAGCAATCGTAAATTGCTGTAATTAGAATTGTATTGTAATTATAGTAGGCCCGTATTACACTGTAAAATGTTTTAGGAAAGATATTTTATAAAAGTCTTTGACAAACATCCTTTATAGTTTAATAAGCCATAAATAAATAACTAGAGGCTTGTAGGGACGTAACTAAAAAACTCTTAAATAAATGTAAAAAAATTATTATAATATTTTTAACAAACTCAGAGTCAAATTATCTATGTGTCAGGATAGAAATCCTAGAGCAATATATATTTTGCGTACAAAAACAGTTTGTTGTTTGTATTTGCTTGCTTTTTTTATGTTATTTTTAATAAATAATTTGAATGATTCCAAAGGTTTAACTCTGTTAAAGGCAACACACATGTTTGTGAATAAATATTGGTTTACTAAGGTAGCTTTGGTCTTTCGGTTAGTGATTATAAAAATGCTTTCCTCATTGAAATTTTGGAAATTGTCTCTGTCACATATGAAAAGTCAAATGAAGGTAGTTGAGATAAGCTTAGTTCTTGGTCTAAACAGCTAAATTAGCACCCCGATCCAGTTATTAGTTCTAAGTTTGTGCTATTTTGGTAAAGTTTTCAACACAATTAGTGTGGAGTAAAGGCATGACATTGATCAAACTTAACCCTAGATTTGTTTCTGATCAACTAAAAACCTACTATTAGCCTAGTGTAAGTTTATGTGGTGGTATTCCTCCTAAAGGTGCGATTGACTTTACATATTGCATCAAAAAAGGGCCTAGTCAACGCCTGATTACTATTTTGCGACTGGTTAGGGTTCCATTACTCAGTTATCGAAACCAATTACGAAATTACTTTTCATCAGCATCTGCGACATGCATATTTTTGGTTAGTTTTAAGAAACGGAAACTACCTCTAGGGTTTACTGTTATATATACCGTGCATGCTAGGCTATATTATTTGAACATTTTTTGCTTGGAGCAACAGGCAGTACCTAGTTAATATCTCCTCCAAACAATTTTGTTCTTCCACCCATTGGAACTTGTCATAGCAGGGTACTTAACTAATGAACAAATACCTGTACGAACCTATTTCATCTGTACTCCCAGATGAAATTTTTTGACTGCTACCTTCTGTAGTGTGTTCCGACTTAGGTTGGGCGATTGGGTATTATTAGTTGTAATGTGTTAGTTAAGTTTTTTTTCACTTGAGGACGGGATCAGATTCCAGATCCCGAAACGTTGTGTATTATTTGTTACTTTCGTGATGGAAAATTTCCGCAATAAACCTCTGAACAGCATTGTATTCCCAGGTTCATTTGTAAGAGTGGCCATTGAGGTCATTCCACTTCATACAAAATATTGATTAAACGCAATAAATCTCAAATATAAATGTTAGTAAATTTACAAAAAAAGGTGTAGAATAAATCTTTAACATATGTTTTGAAATCAAAACAAAGCAAAAGTTTCCCATTTAATCTTGAATCGTTTATTATTCAGTCAATGTAGTTATTTCATGTTGAATATTCCTTCAACACAACAATAACCGTTAAGTTAGAAGATAAAAACTTCATAATTTTTTTCAGCCATTCTAAGTTTAATTCCTTTGATTTGAGCCATCTTCTATGATTCTACGGCGCTTAACTAATTCACTTAAAAATACACAAGTTTGCAAATTGCACAATAAAACAATGTATTTCAACATTCTAAGACGTAAATAAAAAGTATTTATTATTATAGGTAGGCCTAAAGTTATCCCTGGTTTTATATAGTATACAGTACATTGCAGAATTGACTGGCAAATGAGTAATCCAAATGCAATATTGCTTACTCGCTTGATAAATCCAGATAACTGGCTTCTAATGCTATTCTTATGTAGAAAATTTTACGTTATATCTAATTTTGTGCTAACATTTTGGGAATTTCACTATTTTTCCCGCCGTCACGGGATCGAGACCTTTAATTTAAGCCCTCTTCCGTCGTTCTACGACTTCCCAGTGGCCCTCAATTTTGACGCAAAGAATCGGCTTACGTAATTAATATATAGATAGATAGATAGATAGCCATTTTGTAAATAAAGGTGTACGAGAAAGGTAAAAAAAAAAAAATAAGTTATAGCAATGATCAATATTTTAATTTCTCGTCCCAGAAAACACCTTTAAAGTGTTTTTGGTATGGGATTGCTGGGTTTCCCAATTTTAGGTTTATTGTTTATTTTGAATGAGGAAGCAGTGAAGCTGCCTCATATTCCGATCGAGTAGACCTTTAACCACTCCTTTCATTACTGTTTCAATTTCTTTAAGATTGTCCAAGGATTTAATCTCTTCTTCTTTGTGTGTTTCTTTTACGCGTTGTTCTAAATCACTGAACTGCAAAAAAATAGAAGTGGTACATTAAGTTTAGAAAATACACAGTAAAATATTATAGGTGGTAGATATTAAATAAGTTAACATATTCAAACGTATTTTAATTGTGAAGAAAGAATTATTTGTAAAACATATACCACGTCCTCAGCACCATTAACCTGAATAAAAATATGTGTAGTATTATTACGGGAACGCAGGAAAAAATTTAAATATAAGGTATAAGGTAAAGCTGAATCTATAATGTTTTTTAATTACTATTTTTTGTATCAAATATAATTAACAGAAGGATATAAAAACAAGTTAATAGGCTACGTGTTAAAAAATGAACAAACGTTGAATATGTCAACTTATCATCAAAAAAAATTTTTAAGTTTTTAATCCATTCAATCATCCAAGCAAGTTTAACTTACTTATAAATCTGGAATAGTTTATAATATTCAGTATTTTGAACAATTTTACTCCCTAACACATAGGTTTATACCATTTTGAAAGCTACACGTCTTATGTTGTCTTCCTACAATCAGTGAAATTTAAATTTCAACATGTTTACATCCAGAATCTATACATGAACAGTAAAGTCACCGTTCTATCTAAATATCAGCAATGTGTGACTAATTTAACTCACATTAAAAAAATATAAGGTTCATCCCTGATTTTCTCTTCATTTTGACCCGTAGAACCATTTTCTGGAGGTTTCCCAGTTGAAGCTGGACACCCTGTATATAAACCCAGTAATTCCGTTTGGTTACAACACTATATCACTACTTACCGTAAAGGTGGTAGCATCCGTTAATCCGGTAATCACGTCATCACATGTCGTCCAGCCTTTGATTTTCATGAAATCTTTTCCCACGCAATTGATTTCCACATTAAAGAACAAGTCTACATTAGCAAGACGGTATAATACTATTGCCATCTGAAGCTTTACAGGATCCAAGCTTGCAGCTCCGTAATAGGTGGAGATTACTTTGTCAATATATCCTTGTTTTATAGTCTGAATGTCCCTCTCCTAAAACATTGTATTAGTTAAACTTTTGTTAAAATAAATTAGGCGTAGCTTGCGGCAACTTTTATGCTGCTTGTTATTGGTCAATGTAAGTAGTTGGATGAATTGGTATCGCAAATGTTAGGAGCATTTGTTGTCAAACCAAACTAAAATAGACACATTCAATACAAAAGTATAGAAAGTCTAGGATAATTTTATGAGATGGAGACAAAACCAATACACGTACTGATACACTTCACGTACTATCATAATGTGTTCTTTTATATATATATTATGTTAGTTTTATATCATTCGCCCAGACTGTACTATTGTTGTTGTACTTGGACTGTACTGAGTTTGAACTGTACCGTTAGACCTAGATTGAGTGCTCGGTCACTTTTTGAATAAACCCATGCCAACGTTAACATGTTCATCATTTAACAAACCTCGACCTGCGATCCATATCACACGTACAAACAAATTAAAAATGCTGAATAAATAAGATGAATTGTGAAGCTTTGTTATTCACTAAGATCAGCTTTAAAGAGGTTTAAATACCTGCTATTAAGCAATCCATTCAATTGGCAAATTATTATACAGGGTGTTTCAGAACTCCCTACCAATATATTTAAGGGCATTGTTCCTAGATAGGAGTCATATCTAAATATCATATTTAAACAGTACGGAAGTCTTTAGTTACTCACATAGCCGCCATTTTGTTATTTTCACTTATTAATTTTTTCCTTCATAATGGTTTGACGTAGGAAATTGAAACTTTGCACAAACATTTATAATAACTAGACAAAGCGAAAAAAAATTAGGAAAAATTTCAAATTCACGAAACAAAATGGCGGTAATTTAAAATTTTGTTTCTTTCATAACTTAACAACCGTTGCTTTTACAAAAATATTACAAGAATAACTTTTTTTAGGCAATTTAATTACAAATCGATTGACACCTCATTATTTGTTAGGATTATACGAATATTGACTGAGATATGGCAGCTTTAGTGATACATGACCGCTGGAGGTTAGTTGCAGGTTGCAGTTCGTGCCGGAAAAAAAGTCAGTGTCGCCGATCGTGTTTTAAAATCAAAGACACGGACGAAGGGGTCTGACTCCATTGAACTCAATGGACTCTGACTTTTTGTCCGGATTCAAAAGTCCTTGTACTGATGATGGCTCCACATAGGAGCTGAAACTAGCTGCATTTGCAATATGAACTGATTGCTTAAAAACAGGCATTTAACCCTCTTTAAAGCTGATCTTAGTCAGTAACAAAGCTTCATATTTCATATTATCTACACATTTACCGATAATATCGGTGGCTAAACTTACGTGATTACCTATTCCACCATCCATTTTAAACAAGTTGGTTTTTACCGTGGTTGCAATAGGATCCTCCTCTTCTTTTTTCTTTTCATCTTTTGGTTTTCCCACTTCTCCCTCCTGTTTCTCCCCTTGATTATTTGGTTTATCAACATTTTCTGGATCCTTTTGTGGAATCTCCGCCATCAAAACAGAAATGTTTTGTACGGCGAATACGAAGAGGACGATCAACAAGGTGTTGTACACCATTTTCATTTTCGTCAACAATCTAAAAAACGTCACACTCTTATTCTTCTATAAATAACTTTAAGTTTAAGCTATACAGTGATGTCTGTATGTGTGTGCGGGGATGAGTACCGATTTTGATGAAATTTGGTATGTAGGTACTAATCCATGGTATCTCCAGACGTTTTTATTTTTATTTTGTTCGAAGTTTAGTTTTCCCCATAAAACCCGGAAAATTGGATTTTCTCGAAAATGGCCCGAATGGTTTTGATAAAAATTAAGTATGTTATATAACTTTAGATTTTGAACATAATTGTACAAATCCCATTACCCTACAAATAACCTTTCAAACGTTAAAATGAAATGAAATGAAATGAAAAATCCTTTATTTTTTCAGGCAAAGTTAGGGCCACATGGCCCTTTCTTACACTTAACCAGACATTAAAAATATAACATAAATAATGTGACATAGGGATGACCTAATCTAATTAAACATAAAATATTTAACAATTCAAGTACCTACATATCTAAAAAAAAAAAACATAAAAATTTAACAAATAGAAAAACACATTCACACACTCTCGCATACACGCATCAGCAAACGCGCAAGGTAACAGTAGCCCTAGGACACGCCAGCCGAGACCATCTTCTCAAAATAGAGCTTTTTCAGTGCCGCCACAAACTGGGAACGTTTTTCAAGGGTCTTAATGTGTAGGGGTAGGCCGTTCCACAGACGACAAGCGGTAACAACAAAAGCCCTGCCATAAGCTGTGGTCACATGATGAGGTATACGCAATGTTATTAACTGCAATGTTATTAAGTGCAACGTTATTGTAACTTATGTTATTTTCCCATAAAAAAATCCCATAAAATAAAAAAATCGGATTTGGGAATAAAACCTGGTTTTCATTAAAATTCGTTATGGTGCTTAAAATTCTTAACAAAATAATGCAACCCATATTGCTGTAACTATTACGGTTCAAAAGTTATTGCAACTTTTGTGATTTTTCCTACAAAATTATCATAGTTACTCCCACCGCTTACCCATTACAAATGTTGTAATCATATGACAAAAATTGTTACGTTGGCAAGCTTATGGGAAAAATTATGATACAGATTGCTGATATCTTTTGTTTATTTCATCATCATTCAAACCTACTGTATAATATACTCGTTTCGTAGGCTATTCACAAATAATTATAAAATTATAATTTATCTTTGATCCCTAAGTCGCTATACACAAATTGGTGTAGTCTTTCTTTTCATACGGGACTAACAGATAAAAAATTGCTTTAAACAATTTCAAATACTGAAATATTTGTTTGGAATTCTTTTATATTTTAATTCCACGATTCGTCAAATGAAAATACTGTTCTATCTTCCCACTATTCTACGTTTAACTATGACATTAAAAAATTCTAGATTCTGAAAACCTTTCAAAAAGAAAACTTTCCTATATTTTCCCATCTGTACTATTCATGCATTCTAAGCATTAGTAGCTTTCAATATACAGTACAGTGATAATTTAACTTTTGTATTGACATAACCTAGCTTTACTTAAGAAAAAATATATAAAACACAAACAACTTATATTTTGTTGAAACCCTAGTGTTTGGAGTTACTCTTAACAACTTTATGTTACTAGACTGACGTGTTAATAAAATTTTACACAGTTTTTTAGCACAATGTATTCGTAACGAAACACTGTTAAGAGGAACTACAAGAAATTAAGGAAGATTTTTGTAAGTCAAACACAACCATCCGTAACTTGATTTAGTTCTTTAATTACGTACAAAGGATGTCTTTGATACTATTTAATCGTTGCCATATATAAATAATAGAATAATTGTGATAAAAATCGTTATAAGCAATATCTTGAATTATATATTTTGATATAGATTACTATTTAATTCCTTCCTCCTTCACTGTATAACGTTTAAAATAATTTCACAGTAAAATTCGCAATTGTAAAATGATTAAACAAATTTACCTTATTACAGAAAAACAATAAATACCATTGTTTTCACATGGCTGACAAAATTAAAAACTAATTTTTACAAGAGGGACTTTTAACCACAATTGGAATACAGTATAATCACATTTAATAAATTGAAACAAACCTCTTCGTGAAGAAATTGAATAATTGTTTAACAAAAAAATACACAATTCTAAAACAAATCTTTAGGCTGTTTAATGGTCTTGTTATAAATTATCTGCTTATTTGTCCAACTGTATTCTCTGGAAATAACTAAAATAGAGAATTTCTAGTGTATATTGATAAATAAAACATTTTGTTCAAGAAATTTTATATTTGTTAACAATATTTCAGTTTAATAAAAGAAGCTTTGAGACGCGTAATGCTTATAAGGTTATTTCTAAATTAATTATAATCAAATACCAATAATTTTACATTTTAAATAATTTGAGAGTAAATATTAAATCAACGGTATAAAACTCAATCATATATGTAATATTAGTATGGGACAAAATAACTTTTAGTTAAAAAATTGTAATTCCTTCAATGCATACTTGTAATTAAGTCCTAAAATGTTACACTATTTTTTTCTTCAATTTGACTCATTTTACAAGTACTTAAAATTTTGTGTATGATCCTTGTGTTAAGCTACAATTAGACTTCGCAGAATAAAAAAAATTTACCCAGTAAATTTGCTAAAATAATCTCTTATAACAATTACATCTTTGTTGCTGTTCTTATATTTTATTTTAAAAACATGTGTTCAACAGAATAATAGAGTTATCAGTTTACAAAATGTTAAAACCTTTATAAGGACAAATTCTACAAAGGATGCCAGCTTACCTTGAGTTAGCAGATAGTTTGTGTTGACGATGTTATGAACGCTGCTCAGTCGACAATAATTGTTGTTATGTTAAAAAAATTCTAGTTTAGTCATTAAATTGTCACATTATGAGTGATGGACGACTTAGTTACACTTGCTCGCGCGTTTATCGATGGTTAAAAACATAAATTATTTTTATAATTTGGATCGTTTGACAGTTTTTCGATCGAGAATCGATTTGTCATAGTCATCATTATGCATACAAGTGTTCATAGTCGTCATCAGTGGTAGCCATCTTGAATTCTAGTCCCATGAGTCTAATGTTAACATCTGGGGAAAAAATTAAAACATCATAACATTCATAAACACGGTGTCTCATAAATTGTTATATCTTGGTTGTTTACAAACCGATCTTTACAACTTAGATACCGTTAGATTATTCATAACATATCCTAAAAACGCACACTCTTTATATAGTGCTCGTCTAGTAAACAGTAGGTTTCCGAATTAATCTTTTAGACAATTCACTGGCCTTTTGATGGTTTTAGATTGGGAACGCTGTACTATATTTGGCATTATACTCTAATAAGCGATAGTTTTTTGTGTCATGGCAATCTGCAAACTTCGTATCATTTCCTGAATTGGCTTCCTCTTTCACCGCGACTGAAATGATCAAATGGTGAAATGATGATTGTTTAAATGGAGAGGTAATTTTCAGGAAGAGCATGTGAAATTATGTATGCCTAGGATACAAACCTTTTCAAACCCAAACCAATATTTACAAAATTACAAACGAAAACATGCAACCATCAATCAGTGAATGTTAAGTGAAAATTAACTAACCCACATTGAAAATTTAAACAGCTTTACACTTTATTTCTACCAAAAACATGTAGCATTGTGTATCAATTACCGACACATAACAATCATCCATCTACTGATATTGAAAACACACAACAAACCATAGGTTAAAGAAACAGGTTTAGTCTCGACGAACCGAAGGTTAAAATAATTGTGTGAAGGTTAAACTAAATTTGGGTTCTGTTTATTTTCCTGTCCCAGTTTTTGTCTTTTACCATTGAATATATAACACTATAGTAGTGTTATTTATTCATTGTTTTTACTAAGTAAATTTAAACCTATCGATAAACATCAGTTCTTCAACTTTGCACTAGAAAACCAATCATAAACAACTGGTGAAATTATAATTTATATGTTTCAATTAACCATATGATTATATGGTAATGCAGATCTGCCATCGTAATTGTTCAACATTAGCGCAATGCTATGAGCCATTCAAGTATTTTTGCTGATCTTTAGGACCTTGAAAACAAGTTCTTCATTACAAAGAACTAACATGTTAGTAAGCAATAAATCCTAGTTTACAGCTTGCAAGGTATTAAAATGAGAAAAGTCAAAGTTCAACTCATCCTACTTGCCTAAAGCTCAGGATTAGATATATTAGCGAATTTCCCATATAGGGAATAAGCTATTACCGTAGTACTCATGGTAAGACCTGGACCCGGGACCGATTTTTTTTTTTCGTTTTGAGGTCCTTAGAGGCCAAAAATAGCATCCGTTCAAATTCATATATATATATATATATATATATATATATATATATTTATATATATATATATGTGTCCGTTAGCGCGATAACTCGAGCAAAAATGATCCGATTTTGATAAAATTTGGTACAAACGTGTAAACCTACGTCTATTCGAACGAGTTCGCGAACCAGCATGATCGGACCATGGGAACGGGGGTTTATGGGGGCTTTTATGGGGTAAAAATGGGGTTTTCCCATTTTTGAACCAAAAAACTTAAATTTTTGCAATTTCTTTCCAAATTATTTTGTAGAGCTTAAAAAAACAAATAATTTAGTATATTGAAGCGTTATAATGCGCCTAATGGTTATGGAGAAAATTCAAAAAAATTGTAAATTTAAAATTCCCATGTTATTCTTATGGAGGATAAGTAAACTGTTGTAGTTTGCTTATTTATTAACATATTTTGCCCAAATTTGGAAAATGTTTTTATTTCTTACTAACTATTAACATTTTACATAAAAAACACTTTAATCCTCCCTGTTGCAGCAAACCTAAGTATGTGTTAAACTGATTCAATTTAAATAGGGAATAAATGTGATATTTTTAAGGAGACATTTTAGTGTAAATCCAATCAGGCAAATGGAAATTCGCTTAGTCTGCAGGTTTGCTGCGGCGGGGGTATTTTTACATCTTAAGCCGTCGTTTTTCGATCTCTAAAGTATGTTGAAGTTCCCTACTTAAAACATTTAGATGCAAAGTTTACGTTGATCCATGTAAAAATACTTTTACGTTTCGTGACGGTAGATTTCTTTTATTGAGGCAGATCTCCTCTATCGATTCATAACGTTCACTGGAAAGTGGAATTCGATATCTTAAGTTATGCTCCAACACACCAGGTAAACAAATTATTCTTTAGTAAATGTCCGATGGTGATTAGTGGATTTAAACCCGGACGCCAGGACAGCCTCATTTTCCAATAGCTACACCAATGGCATCGGTGTATACTAAATCTTTATTACAAAATCTCACAAATAAAATTACCAAAGTCGTCTTCTGTACCACTCGCTGAGTACGCGTTGAAACATTTAGATACTTCTGTTGATATTTCACGCGTTGAGACATAAATTCATACCAATACTTCAGGAGTTGAAAGGTATCTTTACGATACCTCAATTGTTGAAAGATTTAAGTTGTCATCAAGATCCGCTACAAAGGCTCACTGTGGCCAAGGTTGGTACAGACTAGAGAATCACCCGGTTGCATAAAACAGTTAACACATTGCGCCACCCTGTTCTTGGCTATCCCTGACCGACATTCCGTCATTTTGGATCACTGGTCTCAGCTTTCGCAGCTTCCGGTGTCTGGGTTCCGCATACTCGGACTTTCCTAATTTGCTGGTTGCGTTATTTCGTGCATAAGGTATTCGATGCTGGGTGTGTTGATCAACCTCGATTCATTTTTTCCAGTGTATTTTGTTTCTGATTAGAACACTATTTTTGTGAGGTATGTTTTCAGGTTGTGTGATCTGTATAGTAGGGGCGAGTACTTTTGAAAGGGTAAGAAGTGCGTCAACCGTTAGTCTGACGAACCCTGTCTACCTGATTACGTGCTCGTACAGCGCGTGCTCGTACAGCGCACCAAAAAATGGCGGAATATCGTGCTCGTACAGCGCAGTCTACTTGGAACGCCCGTCTGTCTATCTGTCTGTCTACCTGCTCTGTATTCCAATGAACTAGCGGTACGAGCTTTGGGCTTTGTCTAATTTGTGAATGGCCGTATAAGTCCTGATTAAAACAACCATCACCAAAATCGTAGTTCGAGGATCCAGATTTGCACTTTATGTTCAAGGCCACTTGTGAGAGTCAATCAATTGAAGCTATGTCTTTAGTACTTTTTAAAATATTTAGCTGGCTCAAGACTTTTTTCCACCCTGTATATACAGTGCATACAGTAACGAATATAGTATATAATATAGATTGTAAGAGAGAGAAAGAGTAACCGGATGTAACATGTCATATTAACTCCCGTGATCTTTGTAACTTAATTGTATTATTGGTCATTATTATCCAATACTTATTCTTTGGTTTTGGGTTAATATTGTATTCCCATGTTCGGTTACATGATATTCTTCAACCAAGCCCATGATACAAACAAAAGACCAAATTGTCATTATTATAAAAAACAGCATTTGCACCAAAACAGTTTACAACAACAAATCGAACGATTAGTGTTTTGACAGGAGACATATAGTTATAATCAATTATATTAAGAAATGGTTTATATTTTAGGTTAAATTTTATTAAGTTTTTAAACAATAACATTTCTATGCGCTAAAAAACAAGCAAATAATATTCTGCTAAAGAGATGAGTGGAATATTATTCATTTCGCACTGGCATTTGATTTGTCCCTTGCATATTTTGTCACTCATATTTAACTTATACCTTATTGTAACTAATGGAAGGTTAAGAAAACTCAAGCCATAAATACTAAGAATTGAACTTGATTGAAATCAAAGAAGTACCTACCAGAGAAATTCTTCACTATCAATAAAGGTCAAAATACTATAGCCTAAAACTGAATGTATACTGTAATAACATAAGCCCTCAGAAAAGTGTGGTCTTTAGACATTATCAAATTGTGATTAAAACTAGACAAATTATACATAGCAGTATACGGAAATATGTAGTTAGATTGTATAACATTTTCAGAATATTTAACGTAATAACTGTTTGGTATTCAATTAATGAAAATTATTACATCTGAATAACGTATTTTTTTATGTACCGTACGTGCTTAATATGACTTAGAAGAAAATGCTTTGTTTAAATAACGTTAGAATTTTAAGTGATCTCTTTGACTATAAAAACATCTTCAGTATCCAATAGTCAATGGTAATATTAATCAAAAAATACCATAATTTTTATTTTATAATATACTTTTAATATATTTATTTTAAATTACAAACAAATTTTCGTTAAAAAAAATAGGGAATTCTTTTCCGAATTTGTTTGACTCTTCTATCCGACCGACTCTCATGATTGAGGTCTCAAATTGAAGTTATGCACTCTCAGACATCACATCAAGCATCGGCATGTATGCGATTAACTGTATTACTCGATCAAAACACATACATTTGATTTATTTTCGAATTCTTACTTCAATTTAAGGTGCATTTCACCAGTTATCTCTTATATTAATACGTGAGGGATGTTTTTTTGTGAACAAAACTCCTCCTTTATTTCTAGACAGATTTTAACGTTTGAGGTGTCAAATAATTCGTCTCAATTCGTAGTTTTGCATAAAGGTTTTAAAATTTTAAAAACTCTTACCCTTAAGGGCACGAGACGCTCTCAAAGGTAGCATTTTCCCCCATAAGAATTACATTGAAAACAAATTTAAAAACAAAAAAAGCTATATATAAAATGAAACTCACCAGCTTTTTGGGAGTAAATATTGATGTTTGTAATATTTAGGAGGTTATAGACAAATCTAAACAGTCAATCAGTTTTGTTGGAAGAACAGACAATTTCTTGAGTTTAAAGGAGAAATATTGAAAACAGGAGGAGGAGACAATTAATATGAAATCTTGTGCGTATGAGAAGAGAGATGATCAACCATACAAAATCAACACACAATCTTCGTCCAGCAACTGGTGACACTGGGAAGGTGCATCGACCGCTTTGCTAGCTACCCTCCTGCAGGTAATCGGGGTTGAGATATTCGGGCTTCAAAATATTAATTGTAAGACATGATCTAGGAGTTGCATTATTTGTACGGGTCAATGTTAGGTCTTTCGTGGAAATTAGACGGGTAAATGATTGGTCCTTCCTGGAATTAGGGACACCAAGATAACTGCGCTGTACGAGCACTGCGCTGTACGAGCACGCGCTGAAACAGCACGACACCGTCTACCTGTGACTGGTCAATGGTTTAAGGTTCGGGTCAATCCCAGATGACGAAGGTTCAGAAGAAAGGTTCCATCATACAGACTATAGACATAGTTGAATTCCAACAGGAAAATCCTGTGGTGCTGTCAATTATCAATTTCATCAACAAAATAGGTGGATAAATAAAAGGAATTCTTAAGTGAGATGCCAATATATCGTCAAACAATTTATACTGGATCACGATTCATCGTATACTGTATTAAGCTCGTGTAGTGTAGTATAGTACGTGGCGCTTCATCCCCCCAAGGTTAAAACCCTGCAATCGACAATGACTTTTAGCTATGATGGAATGCGACAACCCTCTACGCCTAGCTTGAAGTAGTTTGTGAAATGGCTCCGGGATAGAACCTACTACCTACGTGAAGAAAAGACATACGAAATGTATCCATGAACTAGTTCTGAGCAAAACATTTGCTCCTATTATTCCCTCTATATTTAATTTCACTGAATAACAGATTACTTATAAATAGAGACCGGATCAAGTGATCAAATCATCAAGCCATGCCTAACTTCAACTTTATACATGTGTTCCATCTCCACGAAACCACACATTTCCTCACATCAGTCGCAATTCCTGATTCACCCTAAAAGTCAAGATATCCTCAACTCGCGCCAAATGAGTTCTCGCGAAGTCGTCAGAGGCGCACTTTAACCTCCAGACCAGGCAGGATGTTTACTGCTGTCAAGGACGGAATCATTGCGCGGGCAATTCTATACATCACGCCAATTACGCGGGTTAAGTAATTGGTCGGACTGGCCAATGAAAGATCTTGCGTCTCACTCGTCATTAGCTTGATAGGGTGCCACGTGCGAGAAGATTCGCGAGGACGTGCAAGTTGGCGCGTCTTGACCAGACTCGAGGTCAGGACATGTTGGAACAGGTCGGAACACGTTACGGTCAAAACTGCACGTGCAGGGGCGTCTGCTTTGGTTTATAGGCATTGCGAATACCCAAACCAAGGACATGTTGAGGGAACTTGTTTGATCTCGAAAATTAGTTACTTTGAAATTGTTTATTGAATTGTTTCGAGGGTGTAAAATCGTGTTCTAGAAACTTATTTTGATTCCAGGGACTATGCTCTTGTTTTTTTATCTTTCGAATTTCTTGACTGTGGTACAAAATATGTTAGTGATCTATAACGGTATTAATACCAACTAAGGGTAATGTAACAGTTTACTATTCCGGATATAGATTTGCTTTAGTTTATAAAATGACCGTTCTATTGCTTAATGTTACAGTTAGGAAACGGAGCGAATGCCGTTCTATTCTTTGCTGTGGGGGTCATAAACTGTCAAAACCGTCAGGTAGGCCCGAGTCCGAGTGCCGTTTGACTCCACGGAACGTAAGAGTGATTCAGGGGAGAGGTATTAGTGGAAGTGGGTGTATTGAGCAGGATGTAACGGAGACTGAGACAGTTTATTAACTGGGCTACCCTAATATCGATTCAACTAGTAAACCTTCCTTCAATTGTTTGCATAATCAGCAAGTTTGGTTAGGTTAGGTTAGGTTATGATTGTTTCATTTCATCCCTCAAACAAGTTTTGCTCTTCCTGCCCCCTTGGTTGATCTTTCCACCCTCGTACCAGCCGCACCGTGGAACCGGTCACTGATATCTGGCTGGCACTCGCACCGCCAAGCCTCAGGCTGTAAAATGAAAAATTACCCTCGTCAAAGTTTTTAGGCAATAGGCACTCGGTCCTGCACTCCTGTAAATAGTAGACATCAACCCAATCTAGCAAAAAAGTTTCAGTCGTTCACAAGAAGGGTACAAAAGGAATCACGGTCGTCATAGCCATCATTGTTGAGAGGTTAAAAATTAATCACATTTGATTAAAAACTAAAACTGGACCAATACTAACTTGAAAATCGGTTTCGCGAACAATCAATCATAATGAACTGCGAGTTCTACAGTTGACAACCATTAATCTCACCCACCAGTAGCCGAGACAAGACTCTCATGTCACAGCTATTTGTCATTGGTCCTGGTCTTCTAGAGGGTCTCGTATGTTAATGTACCATTGTACTCTAATGCACGCGCTCCTGTAGCCTGTGTTAATTATTGTCTACACTCGCCCGTATAATTAACCACTTGCTTACTTGACTTTTCAATTACCGCGTGCATTAATCAACATTGCTCCACGTCGGGTCGTCTTTTGTAGCAATAAATTACAATGTTTCGTATAGTGCATACTTTTTGCTGCGTTGTTTAATTAATCACGTTGTTTTAGTGGATATAATAAAATTAGACTTCAATAATTTTTAGAAATATCTAGATTATTTAAGGTCTGAGCCTTGTGATCTGTGAGACTGGCCGAAATCGCTCATTTGTATCAACTTTGGAAAATATTTGCCGTCATGTAGTATATGCCGATATACGTTGAAAGACGTTATATCCGTATAACATCACCAATACCAATACTTTAACTTCCATCAAAGACGTTTGTGTTACGGAAAGTGTGTTTTTGAAACATTGGTTGTTAGGTGCGTTAAAATTATTGTTTTTTTATATTTACATTGAACCATGATTTTAAGGGTTTCAATAATATGGGAGACACAAATTTAGGGTGATAGCTGGATCTGTTGAGAAAATACTTAATATTTTACATTGAGGTTAGGTTGTTAAAATAAATATTTACATACGGTAATACAATGTCAATGATGTAACAAATATAGATGACAGAATTCAAGCTGCCAATCTGCTGCGTAGCTTTACCAACTGCTCGTTTGCGATCGTAGTTCGTAGTTGAACTTGTACTTTTGCGATTGCAGTGGTTGGCACCTCGTAATTTGGGTCACACAAAAGGGTCACGTTGTATCCCCATGAATATGACATCCACAGACGTTTAATGAGTTTGAACGTAAAAAAAATATATATTTTGAGTTTCCTTCATCAAAAAAACACAGGACAAACAACACAGAAAACAACAAAACATTTTACATTATTTGGTTGATTTAAGAATCATTGATTGCTAAAAATCTATGTGATGCTCTTTGGTTCGTCATATTTTGTATACAACTTGTATATTGATTGACACTTTGGTGTTCCAGACTGAGGAAGCACGCCCTTGCGGTGGTGTTTTGTAATTTTCACCACGACACCGCCTCTCCCAGACACCTCAAGATGGCTGGCCTTGTCAAGATGGCTGTTGACAGATACGTCAACCTCATGGACTCGATAAGTGGTAAATAAATACAATATTGAAAATGTAATAAAAACCTATAAATAACTAGTTGACACGATTTTTTGTTCAAAAGTAATTGTTGAGGTTAGAGATAAAGTAAATCAATGAATTAATATTGTTTAAAGTTCAGTTCATTCAATGAAGTTGTGTTAATATTTTGGGGGTTTGTGAAGATATCCTATCACTAGTTAGCTACACAGGTTCACAACTTTTCGATATATCTAATAGGTTTAAATATGCACAGAGCTATGCTGATATACCTATTTGTTTTAAAGCTCTCAACACTGAACACATAATGGATAAATAAACTCGTGACAAAACACCAAGAAGATGCTGAATTCCACGGTGAGCATTATGTTTTCAATTATAGCTTCCCAGAAATATTCACAAATGTTTGACCATACCTCAGATTTAACGATTGAATCCTTATGACACTTAAATTGTCATTAAGTTTTTATGGCTACGCAATTTTCTTATTTGCTTTACCTTATTTTCTTTCGTTTTGCCTGCTAATGTGACTATTAATATCTGAGAATATTTCATCCAAGAGTAAGCTACTAACTCCCTCAAAATAAGTAATTTTTTCACTACACAGTCCATTTTCAACCACCATAACCACATACTAAAACTGCCTGTTCCCGTAGAAAACGGTAAATTTCTGATGATCCCATGAAAGATCGAAACTTTCAGCAATTTCTTCCATTACTTTTATTTTATTTTGAACTCATGTCCCTCATGCTCCTAGTATCCTAGTATTATATCTTTACCTGTATATAGGTTCCTGAGCAAATTGAAAACATGTCACCTAAATAGTATTTGATACTTCCTTTTCCAGTATATCCACCACTTCATCATCATGCTCTCACCTAGAATGTTTTGCAGACATGTTACATTATGACCATAGATGTCCTCTTTTTATTCAGAACCCCCTTCAATTCAATACAATTTCACTAATATTTCATCTAGCATAACTTTCTTCTTTACAACAAATTAACACTTCCTTTTATTGATGTGGGTTTACCATTAACTATGTTCTTCTAACTATTCAGTATTTGTTGAAACCCCCGTTTCCTTTCTTCTTCGAAATGTTTTGCCTGTTCCCACGAATCTTTGGGTACTTCCTACAAGTGAACTGACTCCTAATATGCCCTCTTCAGCCTTTTCTTAGCAAAATGTTATCTCCCTCTTTCACACATTTTCTCTCTACTGTCACAACGAATCATTGTGCAAATTTTTGAACTACGTCCACCTAAAGCTAGCTATCCACTACTTCCCAAATAGGAATTTCCTCTTGACAAACTCCACGCCATAACCTCTTGTCTTTGCAGACCCGCGGGTGAATGACTGGCCGCTGATGTCTTCGCCCATCCCTACAGTGGCGATGGTGGCTGTATACCTCTACGTCGTCATCTTCCTAGGCCCCAGGGTCATGGCCAATCGTAAACCCTTCAAGCTCAACGGCATCCTCGTCATCTACAACGCCGCCCAAGTTGTCTTCAGCCTCGTCATGCTTTGGGAGGTGAGTCCTTAAATGAGTCATACAAGAGAATAGTCTTTAATTTCTTAGGCTGTTTACAAAATAATTGACCGCTTTTTGAGTTTTACAATGATGAAAAACAACCAATATGCTACGATGGTAGAGAAGAAGCTCAATATTAACCACAATGCTTGACACACCTAACGTCTCCAAAGTATGTGGTACAAAACTGATTGTATTGCCTATTGAGATGGGACACCACCTTAGAAGCGTATTTTTACCCAAACATGAGTGAAAAATGAGTGTAGAATAAAGTGTGATTACATGTGTAGCTTTGATGCCGACTAAGATCAGCTGCTTAAGTCCAGGAGCATTTACAGTCCGATGGTCAGGAATATCTGAGTCTAGTTTCGGACCATCAAACAGTCTATTTATGAGTCCAGTCAATGTTGTCTTCAACTCTCTATTTATATTAGTTTCCTTCTCAATAGTTATCATATGGTCAATAGCTCAAGAGGTTTACAGGTTTAGTAACTAACATTCAACGAACCCAAAACACCCTAAGTAAATCCATAATCATAATCATGCAGTCGCTGAATACACTTGTGCCTTAACTTGTTTTAACAGAACAAACATTTGGAAGCAATTCAAAAACTCCTCCATCAGTCTGTCATACCTGAAGCATATACTTGTACCCCATCTTCAATCATTCCCGCCCAAACCACCTCTACAAGGACACATCCAACACTCAAATCACATCAAACGCACACCTGACGCTGCACATCTTTCTTCTCTTGTATCATAAATACTCGAGATATTTGGACGCATCTTCACTCAACAGCTGATGTAGTGGATCAGCTGATGTTGATAGTCATGTGGCAGCCAGACAAAGACCCGCGTTATCACGTAACTAAGAGATCACACGGTATCAATAGGGTCCATGACCTTCAGGCGACCTTGGCTGGGAGAAAGTGGACGGTGATGCAACGGTTGCGCCATCAGCAGGTGCACTGGGTCTGGGGTTCGAGCTGAGGTGAACGGTTTAGACCGTTCCCCCTAAGCTTTCATTGCAGTGTGGATTAACTCTAGCGTATTACCTAGTTGAAATTTTTATTTAGTAGTGTATTAAAGTGAAAGTATTTCCGCAAATGAATATGGGGTTTCGCTAACCGAAATGTATTTGTTTATTGTGTACAGCAGTAAATAGTTTTAAGAAATGTTCGCGGACTTTTGCAATAACAAATAGGTAAAACGGGTTGCAACGAAGTTTTTTGTATCTGACATCTCGTTTGAATTTTCGATTACGCCTGGCGTATTAATAAACCTTGACATTTGTACTTTCTCACCTTAGGCCTGGATCAGATCGGTGATACGAAAACGTCATAGAATAACTATTCCTTAACACAAAGTTTTGACTATATGAAAATCAAGGGGCAAATGCAAAGTTAAAAGAGGCTGCCAACCTCTAAAAAAATCATCAATGGTGAAATCTCATTGCGAACAAAAATTGTTAACCGACAAACAAAATGTAGATGGTGCAATGTTTCAAGTTTTTATTGTGCTTTTGTTGTAATTGTTGTCAGAAAACCTGCAAAACTAATCAATCATGAAATTTTACTGTAGTTGAAAATTGAAATTTATATAGCTTGAGCTAAGATTCAAGTTATTTTTCGTCAGTTTGTTTCTTATTTTAGCCCCAGTGCTCCAATAGTTCCTTTTCCTGTTTGGAAGCGTTGGAATTGTCAATGTCTAAAACAATCCAATGACTTAGTGCAATGAAACGTATGAAACGAGTTTTGCAATAAAAGTTATTGACGACGATTCTACAATCAACGGTTGTAAATCAAAGCGTAGAGTTGCGACAGAGCTTTCTGGTTGGCTCTAAGGCTATGAAATGACAGAGTTGAAAATATGTACAGGCCATGCTTTGCTTTTTTTGAGAAATATCTGAAATTGCACAATGATAATTGTTTATGTCATTTATCAAATTTTAAATGCCACAAAATCGCTATTCAAATCATATGTGTTAAAGACACAAGCTACAGTTTAGTTTCTATAACACTTTTTTACATCTACGCCAGTGGCCTTTTTATTGAAGAGACCACTAACGAATGATTGTGACTGGCTGGGTAGGTTTGATTTTGAGAAAAGTCAGTAGCTTTTTTATGGTTCGAAACTGGACCCAGCTGTTTTTGGTCATTGGGATTTAAATTAATGGTCGTGAAACAGCTGATCTTAGTCAGTGACAAAGCTACACAGATCATCTCACACCATTCTACACTCATCCTTCACTCATATTTGGGGTAAAATACGCACCAAGACGGTGTCTCCTAATCACAATGATAATGATGATAAAAACTCTTTTTGAGCGAAGAAGATCCAAACCCATCGATCTGTTTTTGGATATGCCATGAATCAAACCATTCCCTCTCGCACCAAAGTACGAGACGCTACTAGCCTATCAACAAACCCAAACCCAAAATTGTCTTTTGGAGAACTCTGCAAAGGATTTGATGGACATATATCAACAGAAGTTCAATTTCTCCATTTTAGTCATTAAGTGCGTGTCTCGTCCTTGATCTTCAGGGGAAGCTGCCGAAACGTAGCCTCGAGGCGTCCTTTGGCCTCTCAACCTTGGGTTCAAAAGACGGATGACCGATGACCAATAGTGGGCTTGTACAGGAAAACCGAGAGTCCTTCGGAGTCTGAAGTTGTAAACAATAGTACAAATATTGTCCCTTTTAGTTTGGGCGTTATTTTGTAAAAAATGTATGTTGTTGTATGAGTATGCGTTGCTAAACACTCCACTATAAAACTTATTTCGTAAATCCCTGCATTATAAAGCTATAAACTCATATTTAAACAGAAACACCTTGGAACAAATAGTTGAATATATTTCAGTTTATGAGTTATCGGCTTGATTTGTTGACTAAGCTCAAAAATAAATCCTCACACATAGGTTAATAACTCAAAAGCTATTTTATGCTATAATAATTGTTATGGTGTTTATTTAAATGGAATCGGACAAAAAAACAAAATGAAAAATAATCAGATTGTTGAGATGAATCAGATCCCTAACTTAACAGCTACATAACAAAATAAACCCCATAAGCTCATTCCCTAAAGTGCAAAAATGCTTGGAAAATCCAACAACAGACATAGCCTTCGGACAAAACTGAAACCAACCGTTTTGTCACAGCTGATCTAGTCCAAAAGTTAACTTTTACAGCGTTTGGATACATATTTACCAAAGGTCAGCATAAATTCTACAAATGAGATGCAATCAGCATAGTTTACGTTGATGTCCGCTAGGGCGCAGCATGAAGCAATGCTGACGCAAGCTGTTGCGACGGAGTCATGCTCTACATGCTCTCTTAATTGTATCCTTCATTATCGCTGGTTAGCCACTCCATCTTTTATTTATCGGATCTCCAAAACCTTCATTACCGTATTCTTCTCTGAGTGGCCACACTTTACTCCCGTATTACAGTTTGATAGTGTTTTCAGGAAAGTCTAAAATTTAACTTAGCATTTTTGTCGGCTAAATGGTTCCTCGTATTTGTTTAATTTAAAATGTCGGTCAAGTGACATGTCGAGCAAGTGAGATGTCGAGCGAGTGGCATGTTGGTCAAATGGTAGACCCACTTCGGATACTGCAAGAAAACTGATATTTATAGGTCAAAACAAATAAATAAGAGAACTGTTTATACCATTTTAAAATTCACACATTTTGATTGTATCTGTGAATAAGACATTTCCTTAAACATATATAACAACATTTGTTATTAAAAGAATTTTGAAAACAGAATAAGGCTATAAATAAAGACACTTAAAACCTAAGGTTGAAATTGATCAGTATATAATTTATAATATATCCACTAATCAAGAAGGTACAATGACTTTTATACAGCAAATTATTATTGTCATAATTTATTCCTTTTCTATGTAAAATAGGATTCATCCCTATTTTACATTGTTAATTTAGTACCTATTGACATAAGGTCAACTTTTATAAATGATAAAACACTTCAATTTTATTTTGTTGAAAAGGCTACAATTTTAAATTTAACAGAACCTATTGAAGTGCTGTGTTCTGTAGTATTTATACCACAGAACAGTATTAGACAGTTTAGTACAGTAAACCTTGTTATAATTACATTACTAAACCAAAAGAGGCCCAATCCAAAAATAATACACTGCTTCTCTAGGTCATTAACACATTTTCAACTCTCACATGCATTGGTAAACTAGCGTCTAAAACCTTCCGGCCTGTTCACAACAGTCCTTGAATTGTTGATTTAGTCCTGCACCGTACTGGGAGAGGGGCTCCAATGTGAACTGGTGTTGACCTTAACTGATATGGATATCTTGGAGTTATTACACCTTTAACAGCTTCCGTAAGACTTAACTGCAGCAGAGAGTATTGTTGATGTATTCAGGAATTCATTGTCTGTTGTATCCTTCATTGTTTCTTTACTGAGGTACCCAAGAATTCATTAACCATTCTTGTATTTACCATGGTCTTATCACTACGTAGGTATTCAGGAATATGGTAATTTATTGTATAGTCCATGGTATTTTTATTATTTAGGTATCCAAGAGTCCATTAGTCCTTATGTAGCCATGGGTTTTGTGAAAGCGGAGGTATCCAAGATTGAATAATCCATTATTGTATATTCCATGGTGCTGATACTACTGAGGTATCCAAGAATTATAATCCATTTGTGTATCTTCCATGGGTTTTGTTATCGCTTAGGCATCCAGGAATTCATAATCCCGTTGTTAAACCTTTAAAAATGCAATTTACTACTAAAGGATCAAAAGATTCATAATTAATTTTAATATCTTCCATAGCTCCTTTACCAGTAGGCCCTAAGATATCTACGAGCCCGTAATGCATATATTGGTTTATCTTCCATGATTTTGTTTTTACTCCAATAATTTAATGAATCCAATAATTTGTTCATCTATTGTTGTACCTTGGGCTTTTTATCTGAGTCAAGCAAGAATTCATAATACGATTGTTTCATCTTCCATGATCT